TAAATTTTCCAACTAATATTCCACCTGTAGGTACCATTTGGTTCACTTAAATGTTCAGATCAATATGTGATAATTGCACACGTAACGCAATGGAACCGTAACACTCGCGATTCGCGCGTATCGACCACCAAACGAGATCCACAACTGTTTTATTTTAAACCTAACTCCGCGCAGCTCCGGCCATGAAAAATATTACAAAGGTGCATGCAAGTAGGCATTCTTCGTTGAAACGCGGTGAGCGATGTACGATGTCATACATTGACTCTGACTGAGTGCTGGATATAAATTACCTACTGCTATTCATTGCTTTAAAATTTTACGCATGCCATAGTAAGAATAGATAAATTTGTCTCTTTTTTCATTTATTTTTAATCGTATTTTTATTTTTTTACTAACGATCCATCCCGGCTCTACACGGGTGATTTCTAGATCTCGGCAACAGCGCTACCATCCAGGGACTTAAGAACACACAAAAAATTTCATCAAAATCGGTCCAGCTATTTTCCAATTTTTTTTGCGAGACTAACGGACAGCAATTGATATTTATATATAGAGATAACACACACACTCACCTCCAAATGTGTTATCACAACATTAACATTAGTCTTAAATAATTTTCATTATGATGATTAAAGTTTTTATACTTACTTTGGCTTTGATAAGTTCCGTCATACACTCGTATATCTTACTCCTCGAGGGAAGGGTGACGAAGCATCTGCACTTTGATTCGTAATCAAAGATAGGTACCTAAATGTCTATGGGACACAGCATCCACTTACCATAAGGTGGCCAAAGAATCGTCGTTACCGTTACCGTTACAGCCTATTAAAGTCCACACAACATAGGCCTCCCCCATAGATTGCCTGCATGGATATTTTCCGGGTTAGCAATCACAATTTCATAGGTAAAGACTTAATATAGTACTCAATCATATATTATACTACGTCTATTAAATATAGTCTGTAATATAGTGAAATATAGTAAACAGTAGCTGTCTTTCATGCCCTTATTCTATAAATAAAATAGTTCATAATCATCACCACGTAAAAGTTCATTGCTGGATATTTATGGTGAGCTTCTCTCGGTAGGGAGAATTTGCCTTTATCACTATACTTGGCAGACGGATTGGCGATTGCAGTTCCAGACGTCTCGTCTCGCAACTTTGAGGCTGCTCCCCATCGCTGATCGATCTATTACGTCGGACATAATCAGGCATTTATCAGAAACCATGACACACCTGCAGAACGAAAGGAATTAATACGGAAGGCGATGGCTTTGTCATATTTGTGAACAGTTACCACTTGTGGGTTTGTTCTACTCTAGTTTACTTTGCACAGATGAACTTAAAATTTTGTGATTAATGATATCCCACAAAAAAAATAGAAATGTGAAAAAGGGGTCAAGTTCTGTGCAAACGACGTTCGGGTTTGTCGATGAAAGAGTTGAAGGTTTGAACGAGTGTCAAGCGGCACAACGTGAAATAAAACTAATTTTTCTGATTATATCACGTTTATTTTAACCTTTCTTAATTTCTGACGTTACGCGCACTATACGGCACCCATGGTGGGGGGGGGGGGGGACTGAAGTGTTTGACGTCCTAATGTTATAGTTAACGAAGGCTACCTTCACTTTTAAATTATTAATTTTCGGTCCAAACTGCGCAGAACGAGTATATCTTGAAGTAGTATGCTTGGGTTTGGATTTAATTTCATTAATTATGGGATCCCGAGCAGATGGTAGCCAGCCATCTTGTCTATTGTAATTAGGCCGTTTTTTTTTTAAATTTCAATAACCTCGCGAATCATCGTTGATAGGATTCGGTGTTCTTTGCGAGGATTTGTGGTCCATCAAAATTTGATATAATGGTTGGGATGATCCCGAACATGTTGACATTCTGCAGACTTGCCGGAGCGTCGGTGAACAACGTTCTAAGAAATTAGAAACATAATGTAGTCAGGTGAAAAGACAGATGCTGTTAAACTATTAAACTTTTTTGCTGTTCGCGTAACGTACCGTTTGGTTCGAATGTGAAATCGACATTGACTACATAATTGGTATATTGTGGTCAATCTCGTGAGATTTAACGCGTCCAAAACACAAGCGTGTCTTTTTACCGCTAAGAGGAGCCCACTCACCTTTGCTCCTACTTTCCAGAATGTATCCTTGGAGTACACTGACCGCCTTCAGTTATTAAGCATTGAATTTTCTCCGAACCTAAACTATGGGTGGTTCATTGAGTCCAGAGACAAACCAGCCGCAAGGAAACTTGGTGTCCTTGAAAGGGTGCGACGGCACTTTACGCCGGAGCAGCTTCTTACCTTATATAAAGCGCGTCCGGTCGTGCATGGAGTACTGCTGTCACATATGGACTGGTGCTGTAAAATGCCACCTGGCAGCATTGGACTCAGTGGAGAGACGTGCTAAGAGACTCATTGGTGACCTTGATTTGGTTGAAACCAATCTTGTTAGCCTCGAGCACAGGCGCAGAGTAGCCAGTCTCTCGGTATTCTATAGGATGCATTTCGGTGAGTGTGCGGAGGAATTACACGCTTTAATTCCTCCCTCTCCATTCCACCATCGGACAACCAAGGTGGTCGGCGGGTCTTCATCCCTTTGTTGTCGATATTCCCCGCGTTAGAAACAAACGATTTGCATCGTCCTTTGTTATGCATACAGCAAAGGAGTGGAATAATTTGCCGGCGTTTCGTACCGGCAGGCGAAATGTAGGCCGGCCCCCCACTAGATGGGGTGACGACTAGGTAAGACATGCAGGAAGTCGATGGATGCAGGTGGCTCAGGACTGTGCTTTGTGGCATTCCTTGGGGGAGGTCTATGTTCAGCAGTGGACTTGTGAAGGGCTGTAATGATGATGAAAATTATAAATAATTTCTAACAAATTATTTAGATTAAAACTGACGAACACTGTAATATTTAAACTTTGAAATTGTAAAAAACACATCGCAATTTCTCTTTCACTATTACGTTATATTACTTATTACATATTATAACCATTCTTGTTTAATAGCTATTAATTTTTAGTGTTAAGATATTTTTGTGGTTTTGTGGTGAGAAAATAAATAGATTTTTCAATTCAACTTTTCTATTTGTTTACGTTTTTTTTTTAATAACGATATAATAAGTTAGCCCGTTTAATCCCAACTTCGTACCGCATAGAGCCAAATTTGCTGATGGTATTTGCATATTGAATACTTAAACCTTGCTCTTATCACCAGTTAGCAACGTGAGTGTGATTAACTAATCATATAGAAGATAAATAGAATGGTTTATTTTGTTTTTTTTTTTATAGGATAAGGGTGACAAACGAGCACACAGTCCACCTGATGTTAAGTGGTTACTGTGGCCCATAGACATCTACATTTATCCTCGATTACGAATCAAAATGCAGATGCGTTGTCACCCGTGAGGACTTAGATGGAATGCCTCGTTTCCAGTAAAAAGGGTCTCCGGTTCTCTACACTCACCATACGAAACACAGCAGCATCAAGCCGCTATTTCACGCTGGTATTCTGTGAGAGCGTGGCCCTTCCCCGGTCGAGCCGACCCATTCGTGTTACAACTATACCAGAAATATAGCTGCAGCATGGCTCTACCACGGATGAACCTCTATGACGTTTGTAAAAGACCGATGCAATTTTATTGTACCGAAGGTTACCTTTGCGTGATAATACTTAAAATTAGGAGAAATATTACAAGGTTACTTTTTTAAAAGTCTTATTTCTTAGTCAATAGTAGATATTATATAATTATGTTAAAATATTTCGTACGCAACAAGTGCACTTACAAGTATACCCCTCACCAAAAGCATAAAATGTATAAACGTATATAGATAATATAATAAAATGATACAATAAAATCCTACTCACCTACTCGTGATGTAAATGAAAATCATGATACACACAAATACAATTGATATGATGGATAAGCTTAGATTACAATGCAGTTTTCATTTTATAACAGTTTGGATTAAAACTAAAGGAAATATTCAAACAATCGGACAAAAACAACAAATAATTCACGTTAAAAATATCGCAATATTCATAACTTTTACTATCCCTATTACTACTTTTAATTATATTTCACACAATTTATTCCAAGTAACATATATTTGTGTATTGATAACTACATTTATTCACAACTCTAATTTGTTATCAAACGAAAGTCGAAAGTTTGTATGTAAATAAATAGTATTGATAAATAACTTTATCATACTTAATATATTTGAAGACAGACGCCCTAAGGAGCGCTTTTGCGAGTGTGATGTACATCACGTTGTCACTTGGCGTCGTCAGTTATGAATTATGATAGATAACGTTTTTGTATCGATTTCGGTCCAATAATAATTAATTTATTGTCAAAATAAATTTAATGTTAATTTATTAATTTAGAAGTGATTTCGAAACAGGTAGATCCTTCAAAATATTACGAAGATATGCTGTAACAATCAATATCGCTCTTTTATTAGAGATACATGAAAAATGGTGTAGAACCTATCTAAATATTTTATTGACTTACTTTAGCTGTCTTTCTACTATAATACTAATAATATATAGGATATAAATAAGTACTGTCGGTACCTCTACAGTAGTGTCAGTATGCGCCTGTATTACACTTTATTGTCAATTGATGTAATCGAATCAAATTGGTGAAGCCAAATTGGTCGCGTATTATATTACATTGCATGTCCCATCGTCTGCATCTACGGTATTGTTTAAAATATAAATCGTCAGTTCGAAGAATTAAATATCTATCTCTTTAGCAAATGCTACTATTTTCGATATGAAAGAGCAAATACAACGATATTATCTTATCTGTAGTACATCCACATTAGTAGAAGCAACTCGTAGCTGGTTGCACGCTTCTTGGGCACGACGATAACTGTGATGTGAAATCCGTTCCATTTTTATTAATGTGTATACGTGAATATTGCATAATCAATAGCAAAATAGCTAATAATATTGTAAGTCGAAAATATTTACGCTATGGCTGAGGGTATAGTCGAAGTCCAAGAACTGGAAAAACTGAGGTTTGTTGGCCTTTATTAAACTCTATCAAAAACCTTTTCAAATAAAAAAAATACCCTACAATATATTAGGTATATTAAATCAGAATTTTTATTGATTTTATTGTTTTTATAACATAAAACGTATTCAAAAATAGTTTTGGATAAATTCCGTTTGAGTATTTATGTATGTTGTCAAAATATTTTCTTCTTTTTAGACCGAATACAGACTCGAATACGAACAAACGAATCAATACAGACGCATCAAACGCTGAATCCACTCAAAAATGGAGTATAATATTAGAGCCAGTGCTGGCTGGCGCAATGATGGCTATAAATTTGGGACAGACTTCTTTGCAAAATTTCTATTTAAGGACAGCTTGCACCGTAGACTTGGGTTATTCGACAGATGTATGTGATAGAGGAGTGGGAGAAGAATTTCGAACTGCTGAAGTAAGCATAAAATTTATTTATGTGTTATTGTAGTTTATCGTCATTGATCCTGTATTGGCGGTGTAAGAATAGCCACTAGCCCATATTGTCCCGTGGGTGTCTTTTATGACAATATTTTCCCAAACAAGTAAATGGGCAGCAGCGTGATCCTAATAAGATTTAAAAAAAATTTAGATAAAGATAAGGCTACGACGGTAGTTTATCTTCTTGATTTTCTGATCTATACATATCAATAAAATTGAAGTGTCTGTCTGTAATATTGCAATAACGACTACTATTAACCTCAGGGGGTTATTGCTATGCTGTAAAGACATACGAGTAAGCAACCATTTCTAAAATATTTGTCTGTAAATCTATGGAATGGCTGAACTGATTAAAATGAAACTTTACGGACAGATAGAGAGCAACGCCTGGAGCGATCTAGGCTATAGTTTTACGAAAAACTTGTAGATTATTTTTTGAAACAATTAAAAATTGATAAAATAAATGGGTTTTGATTTTATTAAATTTAAATAATGTAACGTTATTAGAACATATCAAGGAAAAGCCTGGGAAGGTCACTAATTTTTAAATAATATACTAAATTATTCATTTTTTATAAATACATTACAATGAAAAAATTATATTTTTATTCTAGGCGAAATAAAGAGCAGCGCCTATATTACTTTATCCAGTAATACATCGATTACAGCCTATAAAAGTCCACAGCTGAACATAGGCCTCTCTATCCAGTGACCGTTGCATCAGTAACTCACAACTCAAATCTGATATAAGCAAAAATAGATCAATTGCAATTAATCTATGTTCGCTTAAATATTATATACTCTTCTATGTAAATTTCAGGCAGCTAGTCAGATGGTTGTATCGGGTGTGAACATCAGTAGAAGTTTCGTCGGTTGTCTGCTCTCCACTATTGTTTTATTATTCGTGGGACCTTGGAGCGATTGCAGCGGTAAGAGGAAGCCGTTGCTCATCATGCCTTTGATCGGAATGAGTGTGATGACCACAGGAGTGCTGCTGTTACTTACGTTTCCTGGTGCTTCTACAGTACAAGTTCTTTATGTTGTACAAATACCGATCTCACTGGGCGGCAATTTTGGATTGCTGCTCGCAGCTTCTTTTAGTCATGTTGGTGACGTGAGTAAATATGTACATTTAAAATATTTTTTCTATTTTTGTAAATAATTATGTTGTTGATTTCGTACACATGATGATAAACATAAAAGTAAATAATAATAGTCTTACTGCAGGCCAATGACTGGGAAGAGCATTATACAGGTTTGTTTTTCAAAGAGTAGTCGAATTTTAAACTTAAGTTCAATTATATAAATAATGATATACCGTTATTGCAGTTATTGAAAATACAAGTAAATAAGGATTTTACTTTTATTTGTAACTATCCCAAATTTAATGTGATTTATGGGCAACAACTACGCGTACGCGAGCTTCTCTGTGTGCGATTCAATTCACAACGTTTTTGCCGACAGATAGATCCTTACGAATGTGTGCGAGCGTAGTAAATTAGATATGTACGAATCACAATCAGTTAAAATAATGCATTACCACGCATTTTGAATTTAAAAGATAAAAAGGACAGAATATTTGGGATTATTTTTAATATATTTTTCTTCACCATTTGCTTAAATTACTTATTCTTATTATATATATTATACATTCTCTGCAAATTTCGCCAGTTATTGCAAAATAACCCTGTATATGGTAGAGCCATATTATGCCTGCAGATCTAATGGGTCGGCTCAACCGGACAAAGACCACACATGCTCAGAACACCTGCGTGAAATAGCAGCATAATACAGCATCTTCCGTATGGTGAGAGTAGAGAACCGGAGACCGTTTTACTGGAAACGAGGCATTCTATCTGCTTAGGTGTGACAACGCAATTACATTTTGACTCTTGATTAAAGATAGATGTAGATGTCTATATGTCACAGCATCCCCTTACTATCTGGTAGATTGTGTGCTGAGTTGTCACACTTATTCTAAAAAAGTACTGTTTGATGCCTAACCTTCTTTGTCTCGTCTAATTTAACTAAACGACCAACAAAATTATTGCTCAATTTATTTTATATCGAATTTCTAAAACATCTTATTAGGTCATAAATCAGATATAATCAGTTAAGCATAAAATATCCAGAATCTGTAAAATATAACAATTGACTGCTTATGTACAAAAATGAATGATTTTGCATGCCTTAAGCGCGAAGCGCGCAGGTATGTTCTCTAGAGCCTAAAGATTGAGATTTCAACGTTTTGACGCATGAAAATTTTGTTGCAAGAAGTATGATACATTTTATAAATCATAGAAGAAAAGCTGTGAGTGTCACGTCTTACGACACTCGCGGGACGATATGGGATAGCGTATATTCTGACACCATCATTACGCCATAATTGGATACATTTAATGATTTGAACAAAATCAATACATATCGTAATGAAGGAGTATTGTAATAAGAAAACTAGTGTATGTGCGTAACGAGAATTCGTACAGCAACATATTGTTAATATTCAGTGCTCAGTCAACTGTGATAATCGCGCTGATTTTCCGAATCAGTGGCAGTGCCCTTAATAATCTCAATGCTTTACCATGTGTAAAGCGTTAAGATTATTGGCAGTGCATCGAGTCTTTATAATATGTCGGTTTAATCGCCTACGATACAACAAGCTTAAGGCCCTTTTGTAGTACGGTATGTAGGCATGAAAATGTTACGTTGTCGAGCGGATTATATTTAGTCTTGAATTTTAGAAAAACAACGTAAGTCAAACTTCAAAGATGTTCCGGCAGGTACCACAAAAGTATTTGTATATTCAAATTTGTTTATTTTTTTCATAAGATAAAAATAAAAACGAAATAGTAAAATTTGTTCTCAACTGTTCATGTAAGTTTTAGACGGTTTCATAGAATATCTGCAAGCTACATACCTAAGCTGAACTTTAAGCTGAACGCACATTTGTACGCACCGTACGCGACGTACGCGCCGAATTTTACTGATGCCCTCGCACATTTGCACGTACGCACCGTCCGCGCCGTACGCAAATATTTTGTATTGCCAACAACTTTTGCCGTTTTTTCCAACCACTGGTGTGAAATGGTACAGTGACATTGATCGCTCGAATTCACTATGGATAAAAAAACTATTCATAATATTAATCTAAAAATGCAATTGTATGGTGAAAATTATACTTTATTTAAAAAGTCATTAGATGATGATAAACGATTTTTTAGATATTTGCATTTAACATGCAAGAAATTTAAGAATTGCTACATATACTAAAACTAATTAATTAATTAAAATAATTAATTATTTAGTATTCATATTGATAATCGATGCAAAACTTTTTTTCAAGTTATGTATAATTAATTACGAATTAATTAAAAGTCATAAAAATACAATAATTATCACGTAAATCGAAACCACCAGTTTTAGTGAAATATCCACTAAGTTGGTAACATTTGTTCATTTGTTCATCAATATTCGGCTACCTATCTCATTTTATAAAATAGGGCGCATACGGTGCGGGTGTAATGTGCGAGATTTCATATGATTTCATACAACGAACTCTAAAATTCGGCGCGTACGGTGCGTACAAATGTGCGTTCAGCTTTAAGTAGCTATTTAATGTCATTTTTATGATTTTTTTTTATCGAAACACTTATTATGATTCGCGTGTTTCTTCACACAACTATTTTTAACACATGCAGATATTCAAAAAAGTATAAAATCTGTAACGTTGCCTTAAGTAGATATAATATTAATCAATATTTTTATCACAAATAGGTAGACACATAGTAGCTCAAACAGTTCTTGCGTCATGTAAGTAGTATGACATTGGCGGAAAATGGTTCGTTGATCAAATAGTGGTAAAAATTCATCAGAAAAATGCAGTTAAAGATCTGGTCGTATAGTTACCTATGCAAAACGAACTTCATTTCTTGACAATATGAAGCACTACTGAGATCAGATCGAGAATCTAAAAGGCCTATTCTAAAAAGTTGATTTCAAAATGCTCCTGACGATGACGCTGATGCACAAAATGCTAAATTTTGATGTCTGATTAATAATACTGGTGTGCGTATGATAACACTGTTAATTTTAAAGCGAAAAAAGTTAGTTTTAATTTTAACGAGCGCATAAGATAGCGCCAATGCAAATAAATGAAAAACAACACCACATTATTATTAATTTTTATAGTTATTTCTAATCCATTATTTTTTGTTATTAACTAATGAAATCTTATGGTATAGCTCCCCAATATAGATTTAAATAAAGAGCTAATACAAAATCAATATTTAATATAAAACATATTTATAGTGGCCGTGTAGTACCAGCGTTAGACAATCCACTGCCCCGTATCATCTCGTGAGTGTAGTAATAGTCGACAGATGGAGACGAAACACGAGATGGACACAGCATCTTCTTGGTAACAACTGAAAATAATTATAAACTGCGGTTACTAACCCGCCTGTCGAGCGTGGCCACTATGGCAAATGGTTGCCACATATGAGGCAACCTACGGGGAACCTACTGTAATTAATAAATGAATAAATTATTGGGACGAAGTTTTGGAACGAAGTTCTTTATCAGACGGTACGGATGGGAGCTAGGCGACGAATAGTGTAAGATTTTTTCGTCACTACCCATCGTGTCATAGTGTAGACGGCCTTGGCGACGAAATAAGGAAGTGAGATGGAATAATATCCATCTCCCTCGCACTTTTTCTTATCTTGCCATGAAAGAAATATTATTTTATTTCAAATGACGCTTCATTTTAATAGACGCTAGTAAGTCATTTATTTGTATTTGTTAATCAATAATATAAGACCTACGTTTATCAATAATACTACGCAAGGAACTTAGTTCCAACCGAGTGTTCAACAAATTGTTTTTTTTTTTTATCTAAATCATCTTAAATTATTGTTGCTCTGTTTTCAATTACCATAGATCACGGCATGATGTTTCTTATATAATTGGGTTTTTGGTTCTTGGTAGCATTTCACAGTTTTAGGCCCGCCATATACATACGGAATTCCGTTTCGAGATTCCGTTTCGGAATTTCGAACGGTCGGCCACACACAAACGGAATTCCGTTTTGCTCGCAAAATTTCGAACGGAAAACGACCGTACGTGTGTGGCGGGTCATAGATTTTATATGGACTCGCTGCGTTCGGGATTCCGAATCGGAATATCGAAACGGAATCCCGAAACGGAATTACGTATGTATGTGGCCGGCCTTACAAAAATAATTAAAGTGCCATAAAAACTCATCAATTCATTGATAAAATTCTTTGTCAAAAAGTGTTCCATGCATGTACTTTAACTTCTTTTCTCATATCAATAAAAGCTTTATCTCAGTTAAGAAAGTGAGTTGCTATTACAAACATAAACAGAAACTCTCACGCCTCTCACTCAGAGGGGTAGACAGAGACTGCGAAGTTCGATTTGGCACGATCCTGACACACCTTCTTCGCTTCTTTCACATCCGTATATCTCATGGTATATCTACGCAACAAAACATGGAAAATATTAAACTCCACACAATTTTCCTTGTTCGCTTAAAATCTTATTTTATGATAGCTTTCATTATTATAACCCGGGTAGCTCAAGGGCTAAGTTTGATTCCGCCGGCACCAAATAAAATATTAATTGGTATTTTAAGTGCTACTTTACTAGATGATAACGAGTATGTGAGAGAACGAAACAGGTCCATAGTCTGCAGGTTTAAAAAATATGATTCGCGAACATTGGAAACCGACCGACTGCGAGCCGAACTGGAGCAGCGCGACAGACTCTTACTTTTTTATATCATTATACAGGCTCTACCTTTCAAAGCGGAATTCCGATCAGGATTCCAGCTCCATTACCTTTCTAGAAATGAGAAGTGGCCGCAGCTTTCCGCAATTAATTGGACGTTTTGTTCCTCTTCTTTATTTTCGTTTACCGTAAAATTAAAGGTAAAAGTTGCTTTTTCTATTAAAAAACATATATATGTTAAGATACTAGAAAATCTTTAATACAATACATAAATGTGTATATAATTTCGTATTCACTAAGTTTTAATATTCAATAAATTCAAAGTTGGTAGATATTAAATATATCGAAATAGTGAACAAAAATAATATAACCACAATTTGACAGGAATGAACAATAACTAAACCGTACTAATAATTATAAAAATATAATATACAATACCTTAGAAAAATCAGTAATACTCAGTAAAAAATAAAGATTTTCCGCATCGGCTCAATATAAAAATGTCCTACATTTCAAACAAATGACAACGCTTTGTTTAGAGAAATCAAAGTGTTCTTTGCTTACAGTGGCATAGAACAATTTGCAGCTATGTAAAAGTCTATAGAACCGTTATTAAGGACAAGATATATATATTTTTAATAATTGTAAGGCATTGCTTCACTACAATTTAAGTTGGTAGTACTCGTACCCCTAAAATAGCGATTGACATTTAATAGATTTTTACAACATCCACGGGATGTAATGCATTATTCTCATAAGTCGTCACAAAGGGCAAGGGCTAAGTTTAGGCATTCAGATACTACCAGCCACTATGCGCAGTCGCTCTGTCATCTATGTTCATTCGTAACAAAATCTCATATGTTACTGAAGTTTAGAAAGTACTAAAGATATTTTGTTGAATTTCAAAGCTATGTTACCTACATACTTCTAGGAAGTCGGCAGTTACTTCCTCCGTTCTCTGTGAATTTTCTATTTTTGATGTGATTCACTTCTGCCCGTTGCTCCCTCCGGATGTAAACAGAAAACAAATTCCTTTATGATATTTTTCTCGCGGTAAGTTACTACTTATCCCATATAATGCTGAACAAAGTATATCGTGTGACTTTCATTCGGTTTCGTTTAAGTATGATTGAATAACCAACATCAAAAGATAGAAAGAAAAAATCTTTAAATTAGAAACGAAGTTCCTTATTGCACGGTACGAATTTGGCGGATGGGGGCTATGCGAGCAAGTGCAAGATTTTACCGTCACGACCCTCTTTCTATAGTGCGAGCGAGGTGGAATAATATCCGTCTTCCCTCGCACTTTTATATTACGCTTCATTTTAATATACGGTAGTAATTCATTTATTTGTATTTCTTAATGAATAATATTTTTCATTTTTTTTTGTTTTTTTTTAAAAAAAATATAATAAGTTTATCAATAATAATATACTACGAAAGGAACTTCGTTTAACCCGAGTGTTCCACGATACTCACGCATGTTTTTTTTTAATTTCATAATAATTAAGAAAAAGAAGGAAGCACAATATTATCACCCATGCCGCTATATAATGGCACATCTGTAACAGTTCACTGCTGGATATGGGTCTTTCTTAATGTATATAGTCTATCGAATAATACATGCAGCCATCTAGATCTACAGTAAGAAGAAGAAGCTACAAGATCTACCGGGCCTTTTAAGACCGAACTCATACGACACCTATAAATCTATCATAGATTTTCCAAACCGGCACGACACGGCGAATAAAAATAATAATTTTTGCTTAATATCTAAACGTGTATATTTCAGATATGTCATGCAAGCGGACGTGACATAACCCGCACTATGGGCAGCCACCGCGCGGCCATCCAGATAGCGCACGTGCTGGGCGCGGTCAGCGGGCCCCTGCTCTACCGGCATCTCGGATTCTTCGGTGTGTTCCCAATAGTTTTATTACTGCAGGTACATAGTTTTTCATAACAAGAGTTAGGTTTAATATGTTGTTATTAGTGCAGCTGGCTGTGAGGCTTCTTTGACTAAAGTTGGTTGCGAGTGCCCATGCGCTGCATAACACTTTCCACCACGTGAAATTTCAGCTATATTCCATTAAAAAAATCAAAGCCTGATGTGCATATGCGGACCCGAAAAGACGGACATGGTCCTACATGTTGCCGGTATAACGAAACAAAGTCGCTTAGCGAGCTAAAAACCGGGCTAGTAACTACGTAAAACTAAAGGCACCGGTAAGGACTGACAGATAATCGCTCGATGAATTAACAACTGATGAAGTTGAAAGGATCTCGAGTAGCGACCGCGATGAGGTGAAGGTCCGATTTGATCTCAATCAAACATACTAGACATAAAAAAAACGCTGCGGCTAATATCGCCTGAACATAAATATGCCGCTAAAAGACCAGTGAAAGAATTTACTCGCGCAGTATACTTACAATTATAAAATAACAACACAACGCTGCCTGTGTTTAGCGAAGAGACGAGAAGCTGAGACCCTTTTTGGTGGAAATGGGGCTTTCCATATTAATCTTTAGGGATGACAACGCATATTCATTTTGATTCATAATCAAGGGTACATGAAGGCGTATATGAGCCACAGTATCTACTTACCATGAGGTTAATAATATTAAACATTATCAATATTGTGTACTCGTTTATATTTTAAAATTTCATTTCATCTGCCTGCTTTTCTGTTTGCTTACTTGCGGTAATTACAAATTATATAAAAGTGATGTAAGTTTTTGCATCAAAATGAATAAATTATCGCTCTACTTCCTCCATTCATTCATTCATCATCATTACAGCCCTTCACAAGTCCACTGCTGAACATAGGCGTCCCCCAAGGAATGCCACAAAGCACGGTCCTGAGCCACCTGCACCCATCGACTTCCTGCATGTGTTATCAGGTCGTCACTCCATTTAGTGGGTACGAGGCCGCCACTCGAGAATCTTTTTTCCCCATCGGTTGTCGATTCTTCGAGCTATATGGCTGGCCCATTGCCACTTCAGCTTACTAATCCGTTGGGCTATGTCGGTTACTCTGGTTCTACTGCGGATATACTCATTTCTAAGTTTATCCCGTAGAGAAACCCCGAGCATAGCCCTCTCTATAGCTCGCTGAATGACCTTGAGCTTCCTCATCCAGCCAGCAGTGAAGGATCACGTCTCAGATCCGTAAGTCATCACTGGCAACACGCACTGGTTAACAATCTCATTTTCAGGGTTTGAGGTATACCTGACGGGAAGATGTGCCGTAACTTCCCAAACACTGCCCAGCCGAGTTGAATCCGTCGATTGATCTCTCGGTCGAAGTTGGACTTACATATTCGGACTATTTATCCCAGATAAACATACTCGTCAACAACTTAGAGCTTAGTGCTCCCAACAACTACCGGCATAGGTGTGACATGGACGTTATACATGATATTTGTTTTGTCCATGTTCATCTTAAGACCTATCCGTTGGGAGGCACTACTGAGGTTATTGAGCACAGTGCTTAGATCCTCCAGCGATTCTGCCATAAGGACTATATCGTCGGCAAATCGAAGGTGAGTGATGTACTCGCCGTTGATATTAATACCGTATCCTTTCCAGTCCAGAAGCTTGAAAACGTCTTCAAATGCAGCGGTGAAGAGTTTCGGGGATATAACGTCACCCTGCCTTACACCTCTCTGTAGTTGGATAGGTGTCGTAATCTGGTTCTGTACTCGGATAGCCATCGTAGCCATACTGTAGAAACACTTTAGCATTTCGATATACCGACAGTCCACTTGGTACCGCTGAAGGGACTGCAGCACCACCCAAATTTCGACGTAATCAAAGGCTTTCTCATAGTCCACATACGCCAGACATTGTACTCCTTGGTCTTCTGTACAATTTGCCAAAGGGTATTTATGTGGTCTATGATGCTAAAGCCTTTTCAGAAACCGGCCACGTTTCGCGGACGGGTTGGCAACCGTAGGTTTTTATTATTTTCAATAGTTATAGGAAGATGCTACTGACCTTCTCCCGTTTGAGTACCCTCTGACGTTTTTTACGCCACCACCGGGATGGATTTATAGCGTAGCTAGTGGATGTGTTTAGCTAACACAGGTCACTCTGCTTGATTCAAATTTTAAAGAATGATCATGCTTACACACATTTCTTTATACTTGTAATGACGAATATAATCTGGGACGTAGCCAAAATTTGTACGAAAAATTATCGTATTTGATTTTCAGGTATAGATGTATTGTGAATTGTGACTGTCATCTACGCGTCTCTAGGATAGCATGCGTTTATACTTATGGTGCCACAGTATTATCCTGTGAATTTCGTAAGATCATATACGAAATTTAAAATGAATTGCAGTGATTCTAATTGTACAGGATTTAAGTATGTCCGTACCGCGCTATGTGCTGGCAGCATACAAAAATCCATTACCCCTTTTCGTTAAGTGGCTATCGTAGAGGCGACCATGGAAAATTATAGAATTATTTTACGGCCTACCTCATATATAAATCCCGTTTCCACCGGTTATAAAATATCTAATCAGAATTATTGTCAAGTCTTATGCTAAGTGTGATGATATTCAACCGACTTCAAAGAGGAGGAGATACTCAATTCGACTGTATATTTTTTTATGTGTGTTACCTCATAACTTCTTTCTGGTTGAACCGATTTCGATGATTCTTTTTTTATTTGAAAGCTGGTGCTTCATACGTGGTCCTATAGAATTGACTCAAGGTTTAATTCTAATAAAATTAATCAAGGTGTGACCAATAGTTTTTAAGTTATTCTTAATAATTTATATTGCTGTCGGTTGTATAAAATTTTTAATTTTTAATTATAGCAAACCCTTTTTGCTGCGGGAGAGATACAGCAACAGTAGACTTCTACGAGTTGATGACGAAAAAGAAGAAGCTCGAAGTAAACCATAAACTCTAATATATATAATACTTTACATTCTACTGCTGTTTATTGTTGGAGACAGGGATCGAACTCGGGTTGCCCGCGTGCTGTTAAATTTACAGCAAACGCTTAGCCCTTGAGCTACAATGGCTCCTTTAACTTAATTACCTTTAATTAAACTTATTTAATTAATCTGTTTGTCTTCCAGCTCGCCTCGCTGATATACGTAGTAGTAGTCATTAAAGACGTTAATGTGAATACTGAAAATAAAGTGTCAGTTTTCAATTGGAGATTACCTTTCAATGCGTTTCATTGTTTGGTGAGGCGTCGCGAAGGTTATAAGAGAAGCATTATTCTGCTCATGTTGATAGTCGCGCTCGGCGACCGCATGTTGTTGTCTGGTAAGCGATACTTACTTACATATATTCGTTATATTCTATGTAAAGTTGTAGTATTTAATATATTAAAGGTTAATGTCAGCCCTATGTAATGAAATTTACAATCCGACCGACCGTAAATAGTGGCATAACATCTAGTTCTATGTTAATTAGATAGACATACATATTTGAAAACATAAAATAATGTTCTTTCGTTTTATCTTCGAACATACTCGAAATACATTTTTTAGATTCAATCGAACGTTAAAACATATGATTGATTCTGTCTCTATTTTCCACAATATTTATTACAAAGAAACGTTTCAATCCCTTAAAAGTGAAAGAAAGTGATTAATCGGGCGTTGACGTTTTCAGGTCAGTTTTCTCATCTCGATTCGTTTTCAGCTTTTTACTATAGGGAATTTAGGTCATAGCGTGTACTAGAACGCTTATTAAAGAGCATTTTTTTCTGTAGGGAATATTTTATCTCTTATATAGAAAATACTCATGATCTTTTTGTTACGTAAAACAAAGATCAAAGGCTTTGTAATTTCTTTTATAACGTAAACTATAAAAATGCGTCAACTATTTTTTGTATTCTAAATTAATTTTATGTTAGGAATTGCTTTCATAGCAAAGATGAATTATATATTATGTAACTACCCACATTTTTATTAAAATTGAAATTAAATATTTATATTTATTAAAATAATAAAATGAACTAAAACTAAAATTATTAAACCTACTCCCGGCGGTATAGTTCTTGAACGCTGGCTGCGTTTTCTCGCTAAATGGTTATGCTAAAACTAACTTTGAGCGAGAAAAGCACCAGCCCTTTTGTTACCAGCAGCATCCACTAGTCACGGGTACATCTAGCGATACTACATCTCCAGTAAATGGCACAAATATGTAGTCATCTCCCAGAGCCTCATACTTTTTTACGTTAAGCCTGTTTTTTGGCACCCGGACACTAAACGCACGTGGCATCCCACACTAGGGCTTTACTTCTCTCCCAAGGGCCCAAAGTCATACCGTCGAGTCTCATGCCATTATTTCTAAATATTCCAAAAGGCTCTAAATCCGATGGAAGATTTTTATAGAAACAAGAGCTCTTTGGATGACATCACTCAAAGAACTATGACGGGAATACCTGCCAGCACTTTTCTTACATGAAAATTCGTGTATACCAAACTCGTCGACGCTGCTACCACGGAGGCGCTGTTGAAAAGCCGTCGCTCCTAGTAGGAATCCTACGGTGATGCGCAAGCTTTCTTCATCAAGTAATGTGCCGACATTACTTGATAATAATAAAGCGTGTAACCAGAGACTAGATTCCTTAGCCGAAACAGCTAAAAAATAATTTTGATAAAAATTACAAGATGGTTCTATGCTGCGTATTATCTGCTTTTCACTCTATTTTTTTTTCTTCAACAAGATTTTGAATTTTATTTAATTCCTTTTGTCAGAAAGTCAGAAAGAAACGGACAAACTACATTCAACATAACTTAAAACGTAAACTTCTAAAAATTAAAGCTAAACAAATGAAACATACAAGTATACATTACTATGTGATTATAATGTTCTGTTTCTTTCACAGCGGAGGTATTGCTCGCCTACATGTTCTATAGGTACAAGTTCCATTGGGATGACGTCATGTTCGGTTCATTCCTCGCCTACAGGAACATTGTCAGCTTTGTTGGTTAGTATGATTTTCATCACCTGTTAAGATAATTTGTTAAGGAAATTTCACCATCATCATTAAATCCTATCATATATAGATAGCCACATAGGGGGGGAGGGGGGTATGGGTTAGCTGTCATATTTGCTATAATTTCAAATAAATATCGAACATTTAAAATTAGCCCAAGCCTGAAATAAATGCAGACATTATCATGTATACCTATACGCATACTTAAATAAAATTGAAGTGTCTGTCTGTACTCTGTAATATCGAAATAACTGCCTTTTATTGAGCTTATTTGCATGCTATTAAGACACAAATAACTATTTTTAAGTTTTTTGTATGTACTAGTACTATTATTTTATTCTGTGGTACTATCTAATGATCCGAACGGTTGAACCGAATGTGATGAAACTTCACTAATAGATAGAGGGCGATGCCAGGAGTGATCTAAATTTTATTAAAAAGCAAAGATTTTTGTGTAATTGAATAACTGAAAAAATAAAATATGACATTCTCATAAACTATATCAGATATTAAAAAAATCGAATAAAAGCTTTTTAGTTTGACATTTTATACTTGTCAAAGTGAAAGCATTGCTTATTCAGACTATTCTCTTTTGTATATTCTTTTTTTTTTGATGCAACATCAACTTTTTATATTTTCTTACTTAAACACTTATTTGCTACAAAACGTTTTTAAGTAAAATTAATAAATCTACAATTTATACTTTAAATTATTTGCACTTAATGCGTCAAATCGGTTTTATTTCTTTGTAACAAATTTAATTATATTAAACAAAGTGCACATGTAAGAACCGTTCCGTATGGTGAGTGTAGAAATCCGGAATGCAACATGCAACACAGCAGCATTAAGCTGCTATTTCACGCTGGTATTTTGCGAGAGCGTGGTCCTACCCGGTCGAACGGACCCAATCAAGCTACAAACATATATAGCTGCAGCATGGCCCTGCCACGTATAATAACTCATCAAGCCATAATTAACTAATCAAGTCATAATTAAAAAAATGTATTCTTATTTTAAAATGTATTAATTTGATAAAACTTTAAGTAAAATGTTAATGTTCCAGGGACTCTGCTTATTCTGACGGTGCTCAAGCGACGTTTACGACTATCAGACGAAATAGTGGGCGTACTAAGTTGCATTTCATATATTCTTGCCACGTCAGGACTTGTGGCAGCTTCTACCACCGTCGTAGTCTTCTTACGTTAGTATTAGTGCTTGAACAGGTAGTCTCTGCTTTTAATTTTAGCATCAGGGTATTCATGTGAGCTTTTCTTTTTACATCATTTTGATCATCATTTTTTATATTATTCTAAGCTGGCGCTTAACTACAATTCCACCTGATGGTAAGTGGTGATGTGGCCTAAGATGGTGAAGCGCACTGACTTAACAAGCATTCACAACATGTTCACTGCTAAATATAGTTTTCCTTCAAGGAACCCACTAAACACGGTCCTGAGCCACGTACATCCATCGACTTCCTGCATGGTATAGATAGAATTCATCTAAAAAAACTTAAAAAAGGGACAAAATATCGATGATATTAATGCGCTCTGATTATCTTATAGATTCACCGATTCATGCTAAGCCGGAGCGGGTCGCTAATATTACATACAAAAACCGGCCATACGACTCTTATGAAATTGACGCCGGAGGATCCTCATAATAATGAGATCAGCAGTTTTAATTTATAGCAGTTATAATTAGTCACTTTTAAAGTTACTTTATTATTACTTCAAAGTACGGAATGTTTCCAAATAATGACGATAAACTTCAAAATTTCTTCAAAATTTGAAATTTTTTGTCGTCATCTTAGATTAATACGAGGTTATCATCAATTTCAATTTATCTAAATATAATTTCTTTGACACAGTTTTTTTAGCTTTGTAAAAAAACATTACCTCCGCACTACAATTTCTCCTTGTATTGTGGGAGAGTTAACATACATAAATTTCACAAGGACAAAGATCCAGATCCGGAACCATTATTTGTAGGCCATAGAAAAACTTGCTCCCCGCGGGATTCAAACTCGCAGCACCGCAACTCATTGCTAAGCCACTGAGCCACGGAGCCGTCAATTGACTCTCTTTTTTATGTACTTACATATTGTATATTGTAAAATATTTTTTATGTTACAGTACCTCTGGTTGGAATCATATCACAGGGTTCGCAGGTAGTGCAAAGGCCTATACTCAACAAGCAAATTTTGCCGACGGAACAAGGTAAGTAATAATAAAATATTTAAAGAAAAATTTTACAGCGATGATACTATACTACATACGTAAACTCTCACGCCGGTCACGCAAAGAGGCACGGACTACGGACTTTGTGTTTGGCACGATCTTGATACATCTCTCTCGCTTCTTTGCTATCCATGTACGAGTATCTACTACTTCTGTTTTAACAACGTTACCCCACACTAGGATTTTCTCAAAATCTTGAAGGCAGTTTACAAGCATAAATTGCATAAGGATAAACTTTTATACGTGGTAGAGCCATGCTGCAGCTATACTAGTAGTATAGTTGTAGCACGAATGGGTCGGCTCGACTGGGGAAGGACCACGCTCTCACAGAATACCAGCGTAAAATAGCAGCTTAATACTGCTGTGTTTCGTATGGTGTGTGTAGAGAACCGGAGACCCTTTTTACTAAAAAAGAGGCATTCCAAATTAGTCCTCACGGGTGACAACGCATCTGCATTTTGATACGCAAACGAGGATAAATGTAGAAGTCTTTGGGTCACAGCAACCACTTACCATCAAGTGGGCTGTGTGCACGTTTGTCACCCTATTCCTATTAAAAAAAACTTACTTATCGGCTAGAGCTCTTAACTTGTCCCATCTACAATATATCACCAATTGATGATAGATTTTCAATAAACCTCCATCGAGGGTGACCCTTGCCGACTCTACACACTGTGTATCACTTGGAATGAGGTATAATATTTGACAGATTTCTAATTAATTTATAGGGGAAATTAATTTATATTAGTATTATATTAGTTTATGTTTCTTTCTGCAATATTAATTATATTTATTAGTAAGTAGATTAACAATAAATAAACCAAACCACAGATATTCCTCAAAGTAGGGAATTTAAAATAAGAGCCTAACTGTGCAAAAAATTAAAGAGAAAACCACTGAGGCTTTAAATTTTATTTAAAACTAATTTCTCAATTAAATGTTTGTTACAAAAAACTTCACCTCGATACCAACTAGCGACATCTGGCGAGTGGAAGAATATTAGCCTTCATTTCTGCAGCATAAATTTGCGTTGTCATTTTTTATTAATTTTTTCTACGTGTCAAACCACCGCAGCTTTCATTTCTTAACCTTGTTCACAACATCTTGCAAACTACACTTTTCTCTTAACACGTAATTTATCACCCCTCATTTCACGCCCATGACTAACCCATAGCATATTCTCATGCTTCTTAAGCCACACCCAACTTCCACAAAGGTAAAGACTAACACATTATTGGGTATTACCATTTTGTCTGTACCTGTTTTGATTCATTTTGATTTAAAGAACCCCATCCACTCTGTGTCCTGTATTCACCCTACATAACCTTGTCATTTTCACCATCCATTTTAAACTAACGCCACTAAATACTCATCTTACTACATACTTGCTCAACGAAGTCCCCTACTATTCTTATTTTACATATCGATTTTCTTTCTTCTAATTCAAAAATCATAGCTGTGTCCCGCCAGCAATGCAAAGTCGGAAATTTGCATTTAGAAAAAGCCAAAATTAGGGCTTTTTAATTACTAACTACGTGCCAAGTTTAAAAATTTGGTGCTTTAAAATTTTCACCGCAACGAAGTGTTGAAATTTGCGTTGCTGGTAAAACGTATATACAACATGTAACAAAAACCCTGTGGTTCCCGTTAAGTACGTTATCAGGATCAGTATTCAACCTATAGAAATAACTTTTTTTTTAAATCGACCATATATTTTTTTTATTTTTTTTAATATATATGGTTTTATTACTTCTTACTGACACTAGCCGATGCTAAAGCTAAATAAAGCGGGGTCTTTGACAATCCTCTTACTCCCCAGACAATGCAGAGGTAATAAAACCTCATACCATTTGCATACAATTATGTTTTTTAAATAAAATAAAAAAATTATTGTTCCAGTTTAAAAAAAAAAAGTTATTTGTATAGGTTTGAATAATAATCCTGATAACGTATTTAACGGGAACCACAGGGTTTTTGTTACATATTGTATATATAACAATCTTTTCTCACACCTTTTATAGATGTCAAAACAGTCCGTGTAGACCCCGTTGATATAGATAGCACTTTGACGTCGTAGAGCTATGCTCCAGCTATATTATGGCTGTAGCACGAATGAGTCGGCTCGACCGGGGAAGGATCACACCCTCAAAGAATACCCAGCGTAAATGCTGCTGAGTTTCGTACGGTGAGTGTAGAGAACCCGAGACCCCCTTTACTGGAAACTAGATATACTGAGTGGTCGTTTGGCAACCTTATTCTATATTAAAAAAAAACTAATTCTTACGGGGATTTTAATACCTGTATCAGCACCCTGTTACAGGGTGGACAGTGTTGCTTTGTGGTGCAACCCTGTCCACCCTTCCATAGGCTTTTTACAAGTCTAAAAATGCACAGAAAAATTTGTAGTTTTTGGCCAAAAACTTCTGAGTGCCTAGAAAAACTTGTTCCGTACTTACAACCCTTTCTAAATTCAGCTTGTACATCCCAAATATTTCTACCAGTTTTTTTTATAGTGAGGCTATAAAAAGCCTATTGCAGAACATAGGACGATGAAATGAATTATTCTGTGGGTTCTTCGAGGGCTATGTCAGATGCTATGGTTCTAAGACCAATGTTCCATTAATAAAATAAATTAAAGTAGAAGAGTCACGCTGCAACTGTAATGGCTGCAGCATGGATCCTTTCGACCGAGGAACGACCATACTACTCACAACACAGAATGCTAACGTTAAATAACAATACAATGCGCTGTGCTTCATTTTTTATTATTTTAATTAATTATAAAATAAAATAATATAATTATTATATAAATGTATATTATAAACATTCAAGACATTCCGTCTTAATCCTCAGGGTGACAACATGTCTTTAATTGGATTTGAAAGATATCTATGTCTATGGGCCACGCAACCACTTACCATCAAGTGTACTGTGTGCTTGTTTGTCATCCTTATCAGTCTAAAAATTGCCTCCTTTTTAAAGTTGTAAGTGTCGGCTATGGGAAAAGCCATAAAGATTGTTTGGCTTTCAACAGGTGACAATATAACCTTACCGATTACGAATAGTATCCAAACTGACGACAAAACGTGGCGTCAAAAGAGCGAAACGTCGTAGTGACCGTGGGAAATCATCACCACAACGGGAGAAACCTGTGTTCAGTAGTTGATTTGTATGGGATGATGATGAAGAAGAACACAATTATGTTAACAGTTTCTGGACTATTGATAATAATTATAATTTATCATTGTTGATTACCTTTTTAATTAAAAAGATGAAAAATTTTTATATTAAATATAATTTTTCAGGTAAAATATACAGTGTTATGGGAGCCATGGAATCTGCAACACAGACGTTTTCATCACCACTATATTCGTTACTTTACAAGAAAACCGTCTCATCAATGCCGGACGCGTGGCTAGCGCCTGGCGTCATATTAGCTGTTTTCCAACTCCTTTCTTATTTATTAACAAGGAAATTAGGGGTTAAGCCCACAAAGGACATCACGCAAATCGAGAAAAATATTTCTACGACTTTAGCAAAGTCTCGAAATGAAAAAGATGAATCTCTCCCAAAGGAAGAACCAAACGGTTCTCAAGCTGTTACAGATGGTTTCAAATAAAGTATCTAGTTAATGTGTGTATAATTCAAATAAATTGTAGTTGCTTTTTTATAAAGTCAATGTTTGTTCTAGTTATTGTTTACCCACATTCACATTCCAATACTTTAAGAAATTATTTGACAATAATATAAGGTACGTTGTAACACCTTACCGAAATGGAATTATATTTTTTTTAAAACGAAATTCCTTATCGGACGATACGTATTTGGTGGATGGCGGCTAGGCGAGAAAATGTTATAAGATTTTTCCGTCACGAACCCTTCTGACGTAGTGTCGACGGCCTTGGCGGCTATAAGGAAACGAGATGGAATAATATCCTTCTCCCTCGCACTTTTTCTTATCTTGCCATGAAAGAAATATTATTTTATTTTAAATGACGCTTCATTTTAATAGAAACTAGGAATTCATTTATTTGTATTTGTTAATCAATAATATAATACGTTTATCAATAATAGTATACTACGAAAGGAACTTCGTGTTCTAACGGAGTGTTCCACGATACTCACGGATTTTATTTTTATAGAGAAGGAGGTGTCAAACGAGCAAACAGTCCATCTGATGGTAAATGGTTTTTGTGACATCTACATCTATTCTCGATTACAAATCAAAATGCAGATGCCTTGTCACCCCTGAGGACCACAATGGAATGCCTCGTTTCCAAAGTGCACTGGATCAACGGACTTAAGTGCTTTCCAAGGCAGAGGGGAGAAACTTTGCCAACTTCCTAACTGCAGGCGGCTACTGAATTTTTTTAACAGAAAAACCCAATAATTGATTTTGGCTCAACCCAGGATTCAAACCCGGTACCTCATGATCAGCAACCGCGCTTACGACCACTAAAACAACGAGGCAGTCAATGATAATAATAAAATTAAAGCTATAATTTTGGATAGAACAAATAATAGTAAAGTTATATATAAGAATCCGTAAGAAAAGTAAGTAAGAAAGAACCATAGCAGGACCTAAACGCTCGCGTAGCGTACGCGGGTTAGATACCTGCGGGCAATAAGGAAATTGATAATTGTAATTATTGTACGTGCTGATATACCACCTGCTCGGTGATGAAGGAAAACACCAGGAAACTTTTTTTATTTATTTAAAATCTTTTTAGTCTGAGGTTTGAATGCGACGGACTTTCAGCGCCGTAGCCCTCTAAGAAAAAAAGAAGGCCTGAACCCAGCAGTGGGATGAAAAGAATTAAAATAAATAGTATTTGCTGAAAATAAATTTTAATAACTGTATGTTCCTTTTTTAAAAATGTAATCGTAATATAAAAATTATGTAAGGCTTTGCTTTTTATGCTTAGTTTATTAAAAGTTCATTAAATAAAGTCTGACAGGAAGGGCGTACACCCTTGAAAATATAGAGATGTTTACGTGGTAGAGCCACGCTGCAGCATAGTATAATTGTAGCACGAATGGTGCGACTCGACCGGAGAAGGACCACGATCTTACAGAATACCAGCGTAAAATAGCTTAATGTTGCTGTGTTTCATATGGTGAGTGTAGAGAATCGGTGACCCTTTTTACTGAAAACGATGCATTCCATCTTAGTCACACACACAGCAACCACTTACCATCAGGTGGACTGTGTGCTCGTTTGTCACTCTTATCCTATAAAAAAACTATTCCCAGAAATAAATGGTTTAAATATGTCAGTTTTCGACAGTACTTGATAAATACGCATCGCTCAAAACTATCTCCATAATAATTAGACGTATATTTAGCACGAATAGGTCGGCTCGGTCGGGAAAGGACCATACTCTCGAGAATGCCAGCGTAAAATAGAAGCGTGAAGAATGGAGACTTTTTGCTGGTAACGAAGCATTCTATTTTACTCCGGCAATACATGTTGTCCAAGCCTCAGCCAACGCAGGCATAGGCAAATTGATACAAGGCGAGTGCTACAGTCAACACGTTGGTCAAGTTCGAAAGAGACCAATGCCAAATGCCAATGTTCACGAGTTTTTATGGAACTATCCACATGTTGCCGTAATTAGTTTTTATTGAGAATCGGAACGATATGGTCGACGTAGAAGTTATTGCAGCTTCTGCTATTTATAGCTGCTATATAGATTTAATGAGTGCATATAATTATTATGTCAGTGTACTCCGCAGTAAAGTTGTAAAAAAGAAAAGGTAGTGCCATTGTCGAAATTATTTTGAAGTTACGACTTAATGAGGGCATCCACGACTTTTTCTGTCACCAGGGCGGCGCCACTTTACAGTGAGGTAAAATATTTGACAGATTTCATAGCGGGGACGATAATTTCTTAGGAAAATGTAAACTTTAAGGTTTCTTTCCGCTTCATTAGTTATATATTATATTAATTAGATTAGAAATGAAAAATTCCAAATATAAATATAACTAAAAGTAGAAAATTAATAAAACCAGTTATAAAGTGCAAAAAATTAAAAAACAAACCACTGACGCATTGTGTTGTATATTAACATAATTCTCTAGATAATGATAAACTATTATGTATTTAAAACTAATTTCTCAATTAACTGACATTATGTAACAAAAAATATTACCTCAATCACAACTAGCGACATCTGGTGAGTGGAAGAATATTAACCTTCATTATAAAATAAAATCTGTGTCACTATTCCGAAGTGAGACGAGTCGTAGCGACCGAGCGAGCGGTGGCAAGGCACGCGAAACGAACCATATACACGTTGGCGTTTTTATACGAATAAAAGCTATATAGTTAGCTTAAATCTGGATCTTTACTCAGATTGTCCTTTTAAAGCAGCATATTGAGAATATATCCTAGACTAGCTGTTCCCCGCGCCTTCGTTCGCTACGAATTTCTTACGATGGACTTCATGGGTTTTAATTTCTTCCACGGAACTCTTATTATTTTTCTAAAATAAAAGTAGCTTTTTTTATAGAATAACGGTGACAAACGAGTACACAATCCACTTGATGGTAAGTGGTTGCTGTGATCCATAGACATCTCCATCTATCTTCGATTACGAATCAAAATGCAGATGCGTTGTCACCCGTGAGGACTAAGATGGAATGACTCGTTTCCAGTAGAAAGGGGTCTCCGGTTCTCTACACTCACCATACGAAACACAGCAGCGTTAAGCTGCTATTTTACCTTTACGCTGGTATTCCGTGAGAGCGTGGTCCTTCCCCGGTCGAGCCGACCCATTCGTACTACAACTATACCAGTGATATAGCTGCAGCATGGCTCTACCACGTACAAAAAGCCTAAGTTACTCCTTATAACATTAGCTATCTGCTAGTAAAAGTCCCGTCAAAAACGGTCCAGTTGTTTCAGATATTAGCCGGAACAAACAGATAGAAAGACGGACAGACATACAGACAATTTTTTTTTGTTATAAGAAATGTATATATAAATTTAGTAAAAAGCTGTTATTTTGATATTACAAACAGACACTTCAATTTCATTTATTTGTATGAATTGATTTACACTGCACGAGTACCACTACGCGAAACGCATTAGTATATTATGCTGCTATTTCACGCTGGTATTCTGTGGTAGTATATGGTAGAGCTACAATACGCTACAGTGTGACTCTATCGTACAAAATATTTGCAATGGCTTTTGCTAATAGCATATTCGATGTTATGGTCATACAATTGCTTGATTTTGTGTGCTATTTGTGAACACCAGTATAAATAATATTGTTGCCGCTCTTATTTCGGTGATGAAGAAATTTGTCTTTCTTATGAACTTAATTCAAAGTCACGAGGATTAACTTCCCCACTAGAAGGCTAAGCATGCAGGGAGCGAAGTGATTAATTTTAAAATTGCGATGTGGAGTGTAAAAGCTAAATAATGAACATATTTGATAAAAGTAATTGACACCAGTGAATGACGTCATGTAGTAGCGATGTAAGAGAATCCACAAATCCATATCATCCCGTGCGTATCTTAAGAGATAATAGAGGAAAACTGAAAAAGAATGAACGAAGAAAGAGTGACAAAGCAAATTTATGTTACCGAAGTGAATGGCAGTCGGGAATGGACGCCCTAGGCAAAAGTTTATCGACGAAATCGGCGATATATTAAAGATAAATCAGATTAAAACTACGATTAACTGACGAGCATGTATATGTAGGTATATGGATGTAAAGGAGGCGAGAAAGGTGTGTTAGGATCGCGGAAAATGGAAGTCCGTACTCCGTAGTCTTTGCCTACCCCGTTGGGTGAAAGGCGTGAGTGCTTATTAGATCGGGAGATGGTGACAAAAAATAGTCTCCCATTTTCTCCTGCATGCCTTTTTAATAATTGATAACTAACCCTAAAATATGAAAGATAGAGGGGTTACGAGCCCTTGCGCGCTTGCACGTCATAAAGAAAATGACTTCTCTTTGCGTAAAGAATTTTAGTATTTTTCCGTGACCGATCTTTCAATTTTAGGGTTAGTTATCAATTCTTAAAAAGGCATGCAGGAGAAAATGGGAGACTATTTTCTGTCACCATCTCCCAATCTATATGTATGTATATTAAGAAACAGGAAAAAGGTTTTTTTAAATAAAAAGGTTGACAAACGAGTACACAGTCCACCTGATGGTAAGTGGTTGCTGTGTTCCATAGACGTCTGCATCTATCTTCGATTACGAATCAAAATGCAGATGCGTTGTCACCCGTGAGGACTAAGATGGAATGCCTCTTTTCCAATAAAAAGGGTCTCCGGTTCTCTACACTCACCATACGAAACACAGCAGCATTAAGCTGCTATTTAACGCTGGTATTCTGTGAGAGCGTGGTCCTTCCCCGGTCGAGCCGACCCATTCGTGCTACAACTATACTACTAATATAGCTTCAGTGTGGCTCTACCACGTTATAAAAATGTGTGGGATATTGGCATTGAAGCAATCTATAGAAGACGTTTTTGTTCAGTAGTAGAATATTGATAGGCTACATAATGATAACATGGCAAATATGTTTTCCTTATTTAAACCAATATCTTATCATCGTCGAAATATTTGTTATTCATATTATCTGATAAATGTTTATTTTG